GAGGCTGGCCCCCTCCCCAAGGAAAGGGGCTGCAGCACGCCCAGCAGGGCAGGGAACGGCTCTGCAAGGCTTTAGCCAGGGCACAGGGAGCAGAGCAGGGAGCAGGGCAGGGTCACACCCAGGAAAGGGGAGAGGAATGTGAGGACAGGGCAGTGCTGGGGTGGGAGGGGGAAAGGAGGCAGAAAGCAGGAGCTGTACCTGGCAGGGGTGGCACCAGCAGATGAGGCAGGGCTGGGGGAAACAGGGCCTGGGCAAAATGGGGGTGAGGGGCTGGGGTGGGAGGATGGACAAGGGAGAGATCCCTAAAGGCAGTCAGACCCCTGGTAAGGAGAAGGGGGTGACACCTCGGGGAATAAGGGGACACCGCACAGAGCCTGGGGTGGGGGAAATGTCAGGAAAGGGAGGCGAGGGGGGCAGCGGAGAGGGAAGGGGGCTCGTGGGGATGCTGCTGTCAGGGAAAGGGGCTGGAGCCTGCAGGGCAGGCAGCTGACAGGGAAGAGGGTACAGGGGCACAGCTGACCGGGGAGGAACAGGCTGACAGGGAAGGGGGACGAGGTGTGCTTGACCGGGGAGGGAACGGGGGGAACGGGGCACCGGGGGCAGAGCTGCCACGGAACGGGCACCGGGCCGGCTGACCGACAAGGGGCACGGCAGATGTAGCTGCGAGCGAAGCGGGTACGGGGCGCAGCTGCCAGGGGAGGGAAGGGGGCACCGGGGGGCGGCGGGCACGGAAGGGAACCGGGCTGGGGGGCTCTGTCAGGGCGGCGGGGCCCGTCCGGCCCGCGGGGGCCCGTTACCTGTCAGGCCTGCCGGGCGCGAGCGCAGCGGGCACCGGAGGCTGCGAGGCTCCATCCATGCGGGGCACAGCGGGACGCAGCGCAGGGGCCGCGGCGGGGCCCCGGCCGTGCCCGCCGCCCCCGGCCCTCGGTACCCCCGCCAGCTGTCCGGGGCTGCGCTGCGCCCCCCGCCGCCGCCGCGCGCTGCGCATGCGCCACGCCAACTGCGCAACCGCCCCCCCCGCGCGCCGCCGCGCCCCGCCCCGCGCAAAAGGCGTAAATCCCGTTCGTGAATTCCGCCCCTTCCTGCCCGCCGCCGCGCCGGAACTGACAGCTCACGAAGCCAATGGAAAGGGAGGAAACTGACCAGGAGAGATCCGCCAATCGGCGCCGAGGGGGCGGGAGCGTGGCGGCGCGAAGGGGCTGCTGGGAGATGTAGTTAAGGAAGAGTGATGGCCACCGCCTCCCCTTCCCCAAACCTGGGGGTTAGAGCCCCAAACCTGAGCTCGGACCGCTCCAGAGCGGCCAGGACGGTGAAGGGCCTGCAGGGGAGACCAGGAAGGCATGGGCTGAGGTCACTCAGTTTGTCCAGCCTAGAGAAGAGGGGGCTGAGGGTCCTGTTCCTGTCCCTGGAAATGTCCCTGTCCCACTCCTGCCATGGCAGGGACACCTCCCACTGTCCCAGGTGCTCCCAGCCCCAATTCCAGCCTGGCCTTGGGCACTGCCAGGGACCCAGGGGCAGCCACAGCTGCTCTGGGCACCCTGTGCCTGCCCACCCTCATTTCCTTCCCAAAATCCAATCTAAACTCACACTCCACCAGCTTAAGGCTATTCTTCCTTGTCCTGTCACTCCAGACCCTTTCAAATAATCCCTTTTCCTTGTTGAGCCAACCCGTGTTGGCTCCTCCAGGTGCTGGAAAGCTGCAGTTGGGTCACCCTGACGCTCCTCTTGTCCTCACCCAGTCCTGGCAGCCTTTGATCCGAGCAGAGGAGCTGAGCCCCTGACCCTGCGGGATCTCCCCTCCCTGCAGCAGCACCGAGCCCGGCTCTGCTCGGAAAATGAAACTCTTTATAAAATAAAGAGCAAAGAGCCAGGGGGTGGCAGTGTTTGCAAAATCCTTCCCTTCGCCTTGTCCTCCCCGCAGCCGCCCGCCCTGGGGACACTGAGGACAAGCAAGCCCAGTCCCAATCCTCTTAATGAACCCTCCCGAAAAGGGGAGGTGTGTGAAAGACATCAAAACTTACCCATTCGCCTCCCCTATAATTTATTTCCACAATTAAGCATTCCCGAAGCCTGCTAATAAAGTGTAATGAACAGTTTAAATTTTCATTTGGAACTCAATTCCCTGGCTCCCAGATAATCCCAGCTGCACGGCAGAAGAAAATTCCTACTCGGTTATTCCAAAAGAAGGAGGAAAAGCCCCTTAAATCAGGGACATCAGGCCTGAGGACTCCTCCTCGCACCTCCAGCCTCATAAATGACAGCTGCAATGATTTGTCTCCATCCTGCAAGTCATTAACCTATTCAGCTGCTGTCAAAGTCCTTTACAGAAGGTAATTGTTAATTGTTGCCTCTGCATCAGTCCAGATTCTAATTAAACAAATAATAATCGGGATCCATCCACACAAAAGGGTTTTATCTTCTTTTCTCAGATGCCATCTCCATGGGGACCCAAAGCTCCGCGCAGAAAATCAGGCAGGCTTCAGATGCCCTTGACATGGAAGTTTTCCTTGCTGGTGGAGAGAAAACTGGGGCATGGGAGCTGGATTTTCTCTCAAGCTGGTGACAGGAATGCCAGGGCTGGGGCCAAGCAGGACTTGCTGGTTCTGACTGTCAGAGCTGGAGTTTCCTGATGCAGTCTGAAAGCCGGGGAATGCAAACAAGGTGTTCTCCCAGCTCCTGCAGGAGAACCACACCTGGAAAGGATCCTGGTGGAACAGGGCTGTGGCTGTTCCAAGGAAAGGTGCAGGGAGCAAGGAATAAATCTGCCTGAGAGCTTGCCCTTTTCACAGTGTTGAAATTTAAGTCATACAAAAAGGCATTTTTAATTGTTATTAATTTAAAAAGGCATTTCAATAAATACTTGTCTCCTTTTCTATCCTCAACAGAAGAAAAAAGGAAATTCAGTGTAAAAACCCCACAACACGCACATAAAGTTCAATTTTACACCTTGTGCCATAGTTAGGATGTCCCAGGGTGCAAATGCAGTTTCACAGACACAGATCTTACCCTGTACGTGGTTTGTCCTGCAGACACCTGGAGCTGGACTGGGATTTGTCTGCAGGTTAAAACCCTCAGGCCAGAGCAAGGAAATTTCCTCTTGGCCAAGAACCTCCACCAAGGCAAATCCTTTGCAGGGCTGACAGGCTGATAGGCCCTGTCCAACCCAGAGCAGCAGGAACCCACTGCCAGAGCCACGAGGCCTTCCCTGGGTGCTGCATCCCCGCCCCACCACAGCTCAGGCTGATCCTGGGGCCCGGAGGGAGCAAAACCCGACCCAGTGGTTCCACAGGAGCATTTCCAGCTGCTCTGTACCTGCTCTAGCTTCCAGGAACTGCTCCTGGCAGCCCAGCAGCCCCCATGGTTTTGCCACAGTCCTGCCTCAACCCAAACATTACCAGCTCAGGCTTTTCACCCAGATATGACTAAGCCCTTCAGAACGAGAAACGCTCAGGGTTTCTTGCTTAATTGCTAAAACAGATTAATTTGGCTACCCAGCACACGGCCAAACGGAAAAGAGGAATTGACACACCTAGCGGGTTCCTGCTGGGGCTGATGATCTGCTTTAATTGATGGGTCACGTTTGGGGATGATTTTCCACCCCGTAGCTGCCACAGGTTCCCCTCCTGCCCTCCCTATTCCCTGCAGCCTTCTGACCACTAGCGCTTTGGGAGGCTTAAATCAAGAATGTAACTGATGCAAACCAGCAAACGTCACCTTCAAAGCTCGCCACATGTCATGGAAAGGGCCCATACACTTCTCCCAAGAATTAAGGGCTGTATCTTTACCAAAAGGCCCCTTGGCACCTAAAGTCTGGGCAGCAAAGCAGGTAAAAACCTGTTATGGTTGCTCTGGTCACACACATGTGACAGTCAGGGTGCTGGAGGAGAGCCAAGAAATCAGGGTGGCTGAGCGGTGCCAGCGGCCCCCCCAGGCTGCTCCAGAGGTTTCACTGGAGCCTTATCAGATTTCCTGGTGACTCAGACAGAGCGGGCGAGCGAGCGGTCACCGGGGAGAAGGGCACGGGCCCGGCAGCGAGCAGGGCCGGGGCACAGCCCCACGGGGGTGCAGAGCAGCGGCCAGCGGCCCCCTGTCCCCCCGAGCTGTCCCTGCACACCCAGGACAGGCTGTGCCCCTGCAGGCAGCGCACACAGGAGCAGGCAGCGGCTGCCCAGCCGTGCCCGTGCCCCGCGGCCCGCGGCCGGTCCCGCTCGGGGCCGGGGCACCCCCGTCCCTGCCAGCCCCGGCGCACGGGGCAGAGCCCGCCGCGCTCCCCGACAGCGGCAGACACCTGCTCGGAGCCCGCTGTCCCCGTGTGCCCCGGCACCGCGGGCTGCGCTCTGGGGCTTTGATTCCCGCACAGCTCCGCTCCCTGGGCGGCCCCTCCTGCGCTTCCCCCCGAGCCAGCCTTGCAGAGCACTCTCTGCCCCTGCACCCTCTGCCCCTGCACTCTCTGCCCCTTCCCCTGCACCCTCTGCCCCTTCCCCTGCACCTTCCCTCTGTCCGAGCACCCTCTGTCCGAGCACCCTCTGCCCCGGCACCCTCTGCCCCTGCACGCTCTCCCCTTCCCCTTCCCTCCCTCTCCCATCAGCATCCCCAGCTCCCGTTCTCCCCTCTTCTCCCCCTGTCCGCTCCCCTCGCTCCCCTCGCACAGCCCCGCTGCTCTCCCGGCCCCATCGCCATCGCCATCGCGATCCCCGGCCCCGACCCCGGCCCCATCCCCATCCCCATCCTCATCCCCTCCCTCTCCCATCCCCATCCCCATCCCCATCCCCATCCCCTCCCTCTCGCTCTCCGCCGCCCCGCTCCCCGCCCCGCTCCCGCCTCCCGCCGCCGGCGCCGCCCCGCCGGTGCCTCCCGCCGCCGCCTCCCGCCCGCTGTGTGGGCCGAGCCCGGCGCCGCGGCCGCCCCAGCTCCGCTCGGGCTGTGGCGGGGCGGCTCCAGCCCTCGCCGCCGCGGCCGCCCCGCCGCCCCGCGCCCGCCCGCGCCCCGAGCCCGCCGCCATGGGCGCCGCGGCCCTGCGCGCCCTGCCCTGGGCGCTGCTGCTGCTGGGGCCGCTGCTGCCCGGGCAGGTCCTGCAGGCCAACCCCATGCTCACCTCCGAGGGCCAGCCCGCGCCGCTGCCCGGCGGCGCCGTGCCCGGCTTCACGGCCGCGCCGCCCGCCGCCCCCGAGGAGATCCACCCGCTCAAGGAGCAGCCGGCCAACGGCTCGGCAGAGGGGCACGCCAAGCACCGCAAAGCCTTCCCGGTCATCGGCATCGACTACACGCACGTCCGCATCCCCTTCGAGATCTCCCTATGGATCCTCCTGGCCTGCCTGATGAAGCTGGGTAGGTGGGCGCGTTGTGGGGGGGTCCGTGGTGGGAAAGGGCCTGGGCAGGGCCTGGAGAAGGAGGGACCCCCGGGCAAATGGGACAGAGACCCCCGGGCATCACAGAGAGTGACCCTCGTGAGCATCTGCCCCGAGAGACCCGCCGAGCATCCCGGGGCGGGACCCCCGGCCGGGTGGGACAGGCACCCCCAGCCATCCCCAGGAGTGGCTCCTGTGAGCATCCCGAGGAGCGATCCTTTGAGCATCCTAGGGAGAGACCCTCTGAACATCCCACGGTGGGACCACCCCAAACATCCCAGGGCAAAATCTGCGGCACATCTTCTGCAGAGCTCCCAGGCCGGCCGGGCCGGGCTGGGCACTGCTCTCCCCGCGACCTTGGCTCTCTGTCCTGGGCCTGGTGGACAGCGGCATCCCGGTCCCTGCACTCCCACAGACTGCTCATCTCCCACCTGGGAGCCGGCCTGGAGATGCTCCTGACCCCTGCTGGGACCAGGTTTGCTCTCCTCCCTGTGACACCCAGGGAGGAAGCACCCAGTTTGCTCACTTCCTCTCTGAACCACAGATGCTTTTTGTAACCTTGGAGGAGTCCCTCAGAAGCCTCCCGGCGCTCGGCCTCTCCTTCCTCCCCCTCCGCAGCAGAGCGGGGTGGCTTCGCCTCTGCTGCAAAGCGTCCCGAGATTCCCGCATTAAAGAGAGCGGCTGGGGCTGGAACAGTCACCCTCTGGGATGAGCCTGGGATGCCCCGCTCTGGGAAAGCATCAAAGCATCCCTCTGCCGCGGCGGGGGTTCTTGACAAAGTGTTTTCCAAACTTCTGCAGCTGGATCAATACCAGCCGAATTAGCCCAAACCTGTGACGTGATGGAACCTGCTGTGCTGTCCCCGGCAGTGCAGAGGTTGAGCTGGCCCTGGTCCCATCCCTGGTGATAAAGCCAGGGGGGCAGGTGAAATGTTTGCCTTGGAGCACGTGAGGAGGGAAGGGAGCTCTGTGCTCCTTCATTTTGCTCCTCAGTTGCCATCAGTGGTTTAATAACACTCAGTTATGGGGGGCTGCAGCTTGCTGAGGGAAATCTTGCTTTGGGAGCTTTCTAAAGCTGGTTCCTGTTGTAAACTGTGCCCTGTCCTGGTCTGGAGGGGTCTGAGAGACCCTCAGGAGCTCAGACCCTTCCTGCCCAGCTACTGCTCACAGTACCCCATCCCCTTCCCAGCCCGCTGCGAGCGTGCGTGGGCAGGTGCAGCCCCATTTCCACAGTCCCTCCCGAGTGCTTTATTTACGTGCAGGCGGAGGAGTGAGAACACTTCAGACCCGGAGGCTTGTCTGGGAGCCAGGCAGTCAGGACAGGCTGGAACCAGGTGGGGTTTGTGCCTTCCTGGCGCTCCCCAAAAGGACCTGGGGAAGGAGCCTCTCCCTGGGCAGGCAGGGCTCCCTTCGCAGGGCTCCTTTTGCTGTGGCACTGCGCCTTCAGCGCTGCTCCCAGAGCAGGGAGTGATGAAATCAGGAATATCTGTGCGGAAGCTGGAGGAGAAAGGAGGGGCCAATGGGCCGCGGGCCTGCCGGGGCCACGGGGAGAGCTGGCAAACAGCAGAGCAAACAGAGCTCAGGGGGATGGAGGGGACACCCAGCACTCTGTGTCCCTGCTGTTATGGGGAGGGGACACCCAGCACTCTGTGCCACTGCTGCTGTGGGCAGGGGACACCCAGCACTCTGTGTCACTGCTCCTATGGGGAGGGGACACCCAGCACTCTGTGTCCCTGCTGCTGTGGGAGCTGACACCCAGCACTCTGTGCCACTGCTGCTGTGGGCAGGGGACACCCAGCACTCTGTGTCACTGCTCCTATGGGAGCTGACACCCAGCACTCTGTGCCACTGCTGCTGTGGGAGCTGACACCCAGCACTCTGTGTCCCTGCTGTTATGGGGAGGGGACACCCAGCACTCTGTGCCACTGCTGCTGTGGGCAGGGGACACCCAGCACTCTGTGTCCCTGCTGTTATGGGGAGCTGACACCCAGCACTCTGTGCCACTGCTCCTATGGGCAGGGGACACCCAGCACTCTGTGCCACTGCTGCTCCTATGGGGAGGGGACACCCAGCACTCTGTGCCCCTGCTGCTATGGGAGCTGACACCCAGCACTCTGTGCCCCTGCTGCTGTGGGCAGGGGACACCCAGCACTCTGTGCCACTGCTGCTCCTATGGGCAGGGGACACCCAGCACTCTGTGTCACTGCTGTTATGGGCAGGGGACACCCAGCACTCTGTGCCACTGCTGCTCCTATGGGCAGGGGACACCCAGCACTCTGTGCCCCTGCTGCTATGGGAGCTGACACCCAGCACTCTGTGCCACTGCTGCTATGGGAGCTGACACCCAGCACTCTGTCCCTGCTCCTATGGGGAGGGGACACCCAGCACTCTGTGCCCCTGCTCCTATGGGGAGGGGACACCCAGCACTCTGTGCCCCTGCTCCTATGGGGAGGGGACACCCAGCACTCTGTGTCACTGCTGTTATGGGGAGGGGACACCCAGCACTCTGTGCCACTGCTGCTGTGGGAGCTGCTCCTGCCTCCCTTGCCCGCAGCCAGGGCTTGGTGGTGCTGCTGCAGGAAAAGTTGTGGCTGCCGGCTGTCAGGTCTTTGATGCTACAAGTATTATGCAAGACTGCGTGTTTCAAGGGGGGTATTTTAGGAGAGGCTGCCCTGCAAGTTTGGCAGAGGTGGCAGGTGCTCTGCAGAGCTCCAGAGGTGTTGGTTATGCCAAAATCCACACCTTAGCTTACCTACAGCAGTGACAGGGCCTCGGCAGCAGGGCGGTCCCGGGACACCCTTGTCCTTGGCCTCCTTTCCAGCGTTTTGCATTTCTTGTTCGTGCTGCCTTGGCAGGGTGCTCCCCAGCTGCAGGTACAGCTCCCTGTGCTCGTGAGCAGCCAAAAACCTCTCAGTGCTCCGTGTCCCTATCCCAGCCCCGTCCTTCCTGCCCTGGATCACGGGGTGTTGTTCAGCAGCAGCAAAATAGGCTTTTTTCCACACAGGGATGGCTCTTGCACAACGGGGCACTGCCGGCAGCACAGCCGGGAGTGGCAGGATGGGGCTCACACAGCTCCAGGCTCCCTACACCAGACAGGGTCTGCAGCATCCCATTTCCAGGAAGGGAACAAAGGGGGGTGATAAATAGAACAGGAATTTGCAGCGCTTCCTCTTTCTCCCCACACTGTCAGTGTGCGTTTATTGATGCATCAGGCTGATCCTGAGGGGACCAACCTCATCTTTTCCCAAGAACAGGAATTCCCGGGGTGTGGGCTGTGCATGGCAGCACCTCCTGCCTGCTCCCCTCCAGCTCCACAGTTCTCCTTGCTGGGCTGAAGCTGCTGATTGAGCCACAAGTTGCTACAAAACTGAGTCTTCAACCCTGTGAGTCACTTCAGGGTGTCACCCTCGGGTAGTGCAGGGTGACCGTGTCGAGGAGCTCAGGAGTACTCCCAGGGCTCTGCTCCAGGCCTGGAGATGCAACCTGGCCTTGTCCTGTTGCTCAGTTTCCCCCTGTTGCTCTTGATGCTTTAGACAGCTCTTCAGACTTAAATGCATCCTCCTTTTGTCCCATCCAGGGGATTTGTCCTTTCTCCAGCAGCTCTCACTGTGAGTTTGTTTGAGGAATCAAAGGTGTGAATCGAGCCCTTCCCCTCTCGCTGCATGTTTTGTAAAATGCCTCAGAGGTGTTTGTTGCTGGAGGATTCCTCACCTGGCAGGGCACAGGGGGATGTGCCCTGCGTGTCCTGCAGGCGTGGGCTGTTCCTGCTGTGTCAATCCCCGTGGAGAAGGGGAAGCTGCTGCTGGCTGCTTTGCTTAACACTCACACGATATTTTAAGGCTGTGCAGGGGAAGAGGGAGTGAGGGGCAGCTACAACCATGTGCAGATCGTGTCTGGTGGGGGCCTGACTCTGCCAGGAGAAGCCTTTGCAGCTGCAGGTTGCAGCCAGACATTGTCTCAGCCTGTTGTGTTGTTGCAGAAGGCCAGGCCTTCCCAAAGACCCCATTCAGGAGCTCTCTGTGCCCTTCTCCCAGGTTTGCAGGGGTATTGTAAGGGTTCCTTCACACCCTGCCCAGGGAGAGGCTGGTAAGCTGAGGGGATTCCCTGCAGGAGAACCTGCTCTCCTCGCTCTGAGGGTTGACCTTTCAGCTCACGCGGCTCCCAGAGACGTTTAGGGGAATTCAAGTTGGACTGTAAATACGTCCTGGTTTCAGGGGAAAGGGAAGGAGTGAGTCAGGAATGTAAATAACAGATTGTGGTCAGCCTTTGCTGGCTGTGCTGGGCCCAGCAGGCAGAGCTTTGTGCTGAGCACCAGCTCCTACCCACCTTGGAGAAGAGCTGGGGCTACCTGTGCCTCCAAAGCCATGCTGGCCCTTCCTTCTGAAGCCAGGAAGCAAAGAGTGATATTGCATTAGCCACCTTCCACTGAGGCATGTCCTGCTGTCTGTCTGCACCAAATGGCTTCCCCTGGAGCGTCCTGGCCATTCCACCTCCAGCTCAGGGAGATGGCAGGGTGTGGTGGGTTCACCTTGGCTGGAAAGTAACCTAAAATAAATGTCTTGAGCCCAAGGTTTGAAAGCTGGGTGGTGCCTTTCCTTCTTTTCTCTGGGAGTCCATCTCCCCCAGATGGAGAGAGTCTTCATACCAGGGCCTGTTGTGACAGGACAAGGAGAAGTGGTTTTATGAAGGCAGGTTTAGATTAGATATAAGAAATAACATGCTCAGGAGGTGGTGAGGCCCTGGCACAGCCTGCCCAGAGAAGCTGAGGCTGCCCCATCTCTGGAAGTGTCAAAGGCCAGGCTGGACAGGGCTTGGAATCACCTGGGACAGTGGAAGTGCCCTGCCCGGGGTGGGGGATGTGGAACTGGATGGGCTTTAAGGTCCCTCCCAACCCAGAGCATTCCATGATCCCACCAAGCTGCTCTATCACTTCCCTCTCTGCAGGAGAAACTAGGATGGAAAAATCCTCACGGATCAAGAT